TATGGTTTGGAAGATGGTGGACCGAAGAGTCCTGGGCCGATGGGTCCAAGTCTTTTAGAGTCGAGTCTGTGGAACCCCCCGTCCAAAGGATAAGGGGGTCTACGGCTGCGTTCACAAGTGCATGGCATACACGTTTGGGCTACCCAAATGTTGTGACGGTTAGTGGAGTGTGGTGGTCGTCCCCGACCAATTAGTTGGAGTGATCCGTCGAAATCAGACCAGACATGTAATCTCGGCTGATTCGGTTTGAGATGGGGAATAATAGTTCCTTTCTTCTCTTGATGATCTTACGCAGCACGAACGACTCTTCAGAGTCGTCGTGCCTACTCAAGACCGGGATCATCTATTCCTAATCTGAGATGGCAACCGTCGTGCAGCACGAACGGCTCCACAGCGCCGACATGCCTACTTATAGGTCGGGCTTGTCCATTCTTTAATCTAGGATGGCGACCGCCGCTTTATGCAGCACAAGCGGCTGGCTCCTCAGCGCCGTCGTGTCTTCTTCTCGGTCGGGTCCACCCATGCCATTCAGGATGGCGGCCGCCGCATTATGCAGCATGACGGCTCCACAGCGTCGTCGTGCCTACTTATCGATCGGGCTCGTCCATTCCTAATATGGGACGACGACCGCTACTTTATGCAGCACGAACGGCTGGCTCTTCAGCGCCATCGTGTCTTCTTCTCGGTCGGGTCCGCCCATTCCATTCAGGGTCGGGACCGTAGCCTTATGCAGCACGAGCGCCTGGCTCTTCAGCGCCGTCATGTCTTCTTCTCGGCTGGGTCCGCCCATGCCAATCAGGGTCGGGACCGCAACCTTATGCAGCACGAGCGGTTGGCTCTTCAGCACTGTCGTGCCTAGTGTGAGAACTGTACTTCACCTGTCACTTATGCATGCCCTGCATCCAAGACTATTCGAAGACACCGATTCAGGGAAGGCAAGTAAGAACGTGAGCAAGAGTATACTTTCTCAAGCAGATTCACACGCTCACTACTCAAGAAATTGGGGGACTTGTGTTGGGAAATATTATCCCGCCCTGATACTATTCAGGAGCCCAAGGCACCACCCCATTATGGAGCCCAGTTGACGAGGCACATTTTGGCCCCTCGGACCCGCTTAGAGCCATTTAGGCTCACTCGACCTACTTTGCGTGGTTTCGGCCCATTAAGGCCGTTAGGCCCATTAGGCTAGCAAAGACACTCATCCCCCTTTTCTATAAATAGGAAGCCTTTGCTTCCTTTTGGGGAGGTCTCTCCTCCCTGGAACTACTTCTTCTTCTTCTTCTTAGAGGATTAGCAACCAAGCTCCATGAATGGAGTTCCAAGTTTTTTGTATTATGTAAATGGTGAGGAGAGTATTAATAATAAAGAGCGGGCTTGAACGTTAGCCTAAAATGTCCTATGGTTTTCTCCCTTTCGGGTTTCCACGTAAAAATGGAGTGTTATACCAAATTATATCTATATCTATTAGTTTATGTTAGATCTAGTAATCTAGCTACTAGGGCTGAGTACGGATCTGGGAATTCCCGTTCCGTACCGAAAAACCGCCCCGAATCATTCCAGAACCGATAGAACCGGGAAAATGTAATACTGTACCGTACCAAGCTTTTTTAATAATATGGTACGGTACTGGTTCTTAGTGAAAACCGTACCGGAACCGTCCCAGAATCGTACCGAACTGGACCGTCTCGTACCGTCCCGAATTGTCCCGAAAACTATTGTTATAATATAATAATATGTATAATATATTATATATTGAGTATAATTGTCCTTATATTACTCTTACATCTTTTTGGGCCCAATCCAATTATAGTTGACAGAAATCGCCCCGAGGTCCTGATGGCTGATGTCGTTGCCTAGAATTCTGGCAGATTTAGTCTAGCTCAAATATGGATTATTAAGTTGATTATTTTTGTCATGTGATGTGATACTTTTTGGTTTTTCAGTTTGACGATCACTTTTGCATTTTAGTTTGGATGTTACTTTTCTTTAATATAGTTTGACTATTAGTTTCATATTTCAATTTGATCACACAATATCAGTTTAATATAATCTTACATGTTCTTCTCTTCAATTTTTGTAGAGTTGTTTATAAATGTTAAAATCTAAAATTTGTTATACTTCATGGGGGTTATTTAGTTATTTAAGAACCGTATCAAATCGTACCGGATCGTACCAAAAATTGGTACGGAACGAGACATGTTCTACATATACGCGGGACGGTACTGGTTCTTGATTTTTAAAAGAAGAGTACTTTGGGACGGGATAGGTGTTTCGAATCCCATGCTCACCCCTACTAGCCGCCGCCCTCCTTAGCACCCGGTTGCATGTTGATTGGTCTTTGCCGATTTGAAGTAGGTTGAAGCCACAGGAGAAGAAGAACAAGGCAGCTTCGACTAATAAAAGCAGGTCTCGAGCAACGGAGTCAACGTTGGCTACAACGGAGATGTCTTGCGAGAGTACGGTTGTCTGAACAGAGAAGCAGGCCATTGATCTGGAAATGAGACGGATATCTGAACAGAGAAGCAGGCCATCGATGTGGAAATGAGGCGGAACGACGGCTTAGGCGGTGAGGAGGAGCGACGGCGAGGTAGTGATGCAGAGGTAATCTTCGAAGCAAGGAGATCGACCTCCATGGTTGCCTGCTCTCCTGATTCTAGATCCAAGATATCGACGGGAAGGGCTGCAGAGTAATGTTATTTAGACATTTGATCTCTTTTTTGTTCCAAATGAAATGTGGTCCTATTTTTGTCTACAGTAAATCTTATTTTTTTCATTTTTTCAAATTACAGACTGTGTTTGAAAAGACTCGTATTATATACTCGTATATGACATAAATGTCAATAATATTAATAATCTCTTTTTATTTAGTATTTAATAGTTGTTGGGATTAATTTGCAGTCCTGGATGAAATTAATTTTACGGATTAATTAGGCAGAAAGTACGTGGTAGTATCTTGCTACCAAAATATGTCGGAGATAATTTGAAGAAAGAGGGGTGGTTCAAGACTTCAAGTGAATCAATTCAACACTTACCATCCTTCTTGTGTGGGAGGTTTTCAGTTAAATTCTTAATAGAAAGTGAGTTTGTGATATTTTTCAAATAATAATCCTGGACTAACTAGAGTGATCGTCATTTCTTGAGCGATACAGATTTTCATCTCTAAGAGATTGTTTGCAAAATGTAAAAAAGCCCAGCTTTTGGCTTAAAAACAGCTGCAATGAATGTTTTTACTTAAAAGTAAAAAATTGAAAGCACGTGGATGTTGTTTTAAATTGTTTTTCATTTATGTATTGCACAAAAACATATTTTTATAAAAAATTATCAATACTTGCTTTTTGAAAGTAAATTCTTCCAAACACTATTAAATTTTATTATTAAACATTTCTAAAAATTATTTTTAAAAATCACTTTTCAAAATGTAGGAGAACCGGAAAAAATAGAAAACGAAACCCTCCTCTACCTGCGGTCGTCTCCCTTGAATAAGGATTCCAGTTTTTGTCGTCTTGTGTGCGGCGTTTAGATTTAATCGTCCTTTGGAGCGATGATTAGGTTAGCAGAGAAGGAATTGTTCGCAAGAACATTGCTAGGCATGTTGTGGCGGCCGATGGAGAATGAGTTGCGGGAGTCAAGGGAGGGAGAAAGGGAGGCGTCCAAAGGGGCTGAAATTGCGGGGCAGACGGCAATTGACGGGTGACGGGTGGGAGATGTTCCTTGTTTGTGTCAACAAACATAGCGATGATCTGGCCGCCTCATGAACCACCGTCAGGGGATGAACGAGGTGCTAGGGTTCAAGACACTTGTTCTGCTTATTTAGTTTTTTTCTCGTTTCATCTTCCTCCTATTAATTTTTTATTATTTTATCATTTGGTTTCTTTTTACCATCTATGTTGTTAGGTTTGTCAATTTGTTTGGGAATTTAGTCTCCATTTATGTTATAGGTTTGTTTAGATCTATGAGAACATAGATTGTTGTGTCTGTGTCAAATCCGCTGCATGATTAAAAAAAGTAGGAGAACCGTATACCTCAAAATTTATAAAGGAGCTATTATATTATAATTAGAAATTAGTTCAAATAGGACTAAAACTATGGCAAAAACCTAAAATATGACTTGCTATGTTTTTATTCCAAAATAGGACCATATGAGTCCTATTGGAAACATACCTATTTTTGCATTCCATTCTTACCCTTCCATTAAATATGAATTAAAAATAGTCAAAAGCCATAATTAAATGTTTAATTCATAATAAATTCGAAAAAAATTCAAAAATTCGTAGAAATATAATTAAAAAAATTATAAAATTTTTATAAAATAAAAAATTCAAAAAGGTATTTTTTTAAAAAATAATTTTATTTTTAAAAAAATTAATAAAAAATAGTAAAACTCCGTAAAAAAAATTTAAAAAAATATGGATGCCTTTCCCACCGCATGTACTACCTCCCAGCACCACCACCTCCGGCCGATGAAAAAAATGTCATTTTCCCAGAAAAATGCCATTTTTTTCTGAAAATGCCAAAAAAGTGGCATATTTCTCTTTTCGAATACCAACATTTTCATTTTGTTTCTGCCATAAATATGGCATTTTCCCCCACTGGTGACTGGAGGTGGTGGTGCTGAGGCGGCAGAGGCGACGGCGATTTTTTTTTTTTGAGTTTTTAATTTTTTTAATTTTTTTTAATTTTTTTAATTTTTTGAAAAAAATAATAATTAAATTTTTAATATCGAAATGTTTTTCTTAATTTTTTAGTATTTTTTACGAATTTTTATTATTTTTTATTATTTTATTAGGAATAAAACATTTTAATAGCTATAAGGGTATAATTGTCCAAAGTACACATAATTAGTCTTATGCAAACATAGTTTATTTTTTGGTCCTATTTGTGAGAAGTGAATGACTTTTAGTCCTGATAATTAACTCTATTATAATCACTAAGAAAGTGAAGGGCAAATGTGTCCGTTTAAGCTAAAGTGTGATTGCGCCACCGACAATTTCTTATTCCGCAACCATTTAGAGGAGAGGAGAGAGTTTCTAAGCTAAGCTAGTTGGAGCCTCTGGAACCTCAATTTCAATGGCTTCTACAATTCAAAGTCCATTCTTCCCTGCCCCGCCCCTGCGGAACCGACGAACTCATTCCAGCACAACCCCTCGATTTGAAAGTTATATTTATTTCAGACAACGACAAGTCCAACTCCGAGTTGCAACCGGATCATCTTCAAATAGTTCTCAGTCGCAAAATGTATTGGCTTGGTGCAATGCTTACGGCGAGACGAGAGGCGAGAGTATAGAAGCCAGCAGTGCCATCAAGGATGAGCTCTTTGTTCGCTTTTTTCGGGAAGCTTGGCCTTATTTTCGCGCGCACCGAGGCAGCACTTTTGTTGTGCTTATTTCTGCTGAGATTTTTGATAGCCCTCATTTGGATCCGCTTCTCATGGCACGTATCTGCACCTCTCACTCTCTCCATTTCTTCTGATACTCTTTTAAGCTGAGCATATGAAGTTCACTTGAGTTTGTGTCAGTGGTTATTTCGTCAATTGTTTTCTGGTGCTATTACTACATTCTCTTTTGTTCTTATTGATAAGAATGGATACTTACACAGGATATTTCTCTCCTTCATGGATTGGGAGTCAAGTTTGTTCTTGTGCCAGGGACCCATGTGCAGATTGACAGGCTTTTATCCGAGCGTGGTGAATTTCATTGATTCACTCTCTTTTTAGTTTCGTCCCCTATCGTTCATTTGTTCAACACATCTAATCTGCACCCACCGGAAGTGACCACCTTGGAGTGTCCTGTCTACTAAAGCTGGGTTTTTTGCTTCTACAAATTTATCTCCCCTCATATAGCTGACCCCAAACTACTCTTTAAATAAGGCTTGGATGTTGTTTTTGAAGAAAACTGCTTCCCGCGAGCCGTGAGGGAAACAGTATTTACATGAACTGATGCCTAACCGTATGATTTTGTTGTGGGGGTAAGAGAAGGATATTCCATTAAAAGTAGACAATTATGTATTCTTCAGGATTCCTCTTGTGGCGGCATATCTGGTTTACTGGATCTAAGGAAGTAGTGAAGCTCTAATTTATGAGAACAATAAGTACCTCCAATATGGTGTAGTTCCTCTTTTAGAATTAGTACTCTTAGGATTCTGAGAGTTAACAGAATTGCAATGCATGCTAACATGAACTAGTGATAAGTTTTTTAGAGCAACAAATGGCAAAATGAGAAAATGCCGAAAGGCTCACAAAAGCAGAGGTCTCAGAGTATTTTTTTTACAACAAAGAAAACTTTATTGAAGAAACAAATAAAAGTACAAGGTAAAGAAGAAAATGAAAGGAGAAACAACAAAAATAAAATATACCCAACCCAGAGTAAAAATAAGAGAACCCTCCCTAATTAAACGAGCCCCGAACAACACTTCAAAGATGTATTTGAGATTGAGATCTAGTCTTCAAAGCAGAGGTCTCAGAGTATATTAATGTAATAAACATGCATATTTTCAAGCTCTAAAACATTAGGGATATGCCCTATTGTGTAATACTCTATGTTGTCTTATTCAGAACGAGGTTAGCCAGAGGTCATTTGTACCTTTGAGTTCTATCTACACCCATGCATTTGGGTTAATGTTTGTAATTTGTATCACTGCCCAGGTTTAATGGTTCCTGAAGCGCAATTTTGTTTCTCATGAATGCAAGAGAGCCTCTGTGAATATGTCTGCTGTTTGTTCTTCTGTAGGAATGTATTTAACTTTCAGTTCTCCATTTTGCGACCTTTTGCTGTGTGAAGTAATGAAGTATACCTCTATTTATATTTTTTGTTTGTTCTGTGATGACAGACCTTTGAGCCTATCTTTACTCATTTTTAAGGCCCCATTGATTCTATTCATCTAATATAGTTCCCAATTTAATGTTGCTCCTGGTTTAAATTTGTATTCTTGGGAGTTTGTGAACATTTAATTTCTCCTAGCAGGAAGTGAACCAAAGTATGTTGGTCGCTACAGACTTACAGACACTGATTCCCTAGAGGCTGCAATGGATGCTGCTGGCAGAATTCGTATACTATTAGAGGCAAAATTATCACCTGGACCTTCCCTGAGTGGTATCCGCCGACATGGAGACAATAGTCGTTGGCATGATGGTGTTAGTGTCAGTAGTGGTAATTTCCTTGCAGCTAAGGTCTGAACTTCATTTTTAGTTTATGCATCTCAGTTCATCTTTTTGAATTTATTCTTGACTTTGTGCTGTTACTTAATTGCTTAATCAGATAAACTAATAACATTAAAGTTGACTCCTTTTCAATATGTTTATGATATACTAATTTCTTTTGATATGCTTTCTGGCAGAGAAGAGGAGTTGTAGAGGGAATAGATTACGGGTCTACTGGTGAAGTGAAGAAGATTGATGTCTCTCGAGTACGCGAGAGACTTGATCAAAACTCTATTGTGCTAATTAGCAATGTTGGCTACTCGAGTTCAGGACAAGTTTTAAATTGCAAGTATGCTATATAGCTGTAGGATTTTAATAGGTATCTTTATTGTCACTTCGCATGAACTGATCTGATGCTTCAGTTTTACTTCAGGTAGTGTGATAATTGTGAGATAATTTGAAATTTCACAAAGTAGCATATTGTGGAACTTGCTAGAAATTCCAGAGTATTCTAAGGATTGAAAGAGTCTAGCTGTATATACTTCCATTTAATATCTCCTATGATTTATTAGGTGTCTTTTGTCCTTCTAGCTCTGAGGAGAAGTTCTAGAGCTTTTTCTATGAAGCCTATAAAAATTCATACTGTCAAATTTGAGGTAAGCTAATAGCTAATTATTGTCAACTCATAAGTACAAACAAAGAACAGCAGCTCAAGTACATAGCATCTTTTCCGAAACTCATCTTGTTTACCTAAATCTCCAACAATAGATAGCGTCAACTGTTGATGCCTGCAATCATATAACTACTTGTTAATTGGGTATTATTTATTACAAATTACTTCAGTTAGTCATGTAGTAGCTATGGCAGTGCATTATTTTCAGAGGCCATGAGATGTGATTAGTGAAGCCATGTTTTTCATGTTGATTTGACAATATCAATTATGTAATGAACATGATCTGATGCATAGTAGATATTAATTGCTTACACATTTAGGAATGTGTGACAAATCCAGACATATTTGTAATTCTTTCATCTTGCTTAATGCTTACTTTGTATATGTTATGGGAACCAATGTTGTTTGGTGTGCTACATTGCAGCACATATGAAGTTGCTACAGCTTGTGCATTGGCCCTTGGTGCAGAAAAACTCATTTGCATTATTGATGGTCCAATATTAGACGAAACTGGGCGTCTTATTCGTTTCTTAACTCTTCAGGATGCTGATATGTTGGTCCGTAAAAGAGCTTATCAGAGTGAAACAGCCGCGACTTATGTGAAAGCTGTCAGTCATGAAGACCTACCTCCTTTAGGCTATGACACTTCAAATGGAACTATGTTTTTTCATGACACGAATGGCTTTAACCATGCATATAACCCCACATTCCAGAATGGAGTTGGCTTTGACAACGGGAATGGACTTTGGTCTGGCGAACAAGGTTTTGCTATTGGAGGACAAGAGAGGCTAAGTCGGTTATATGGTTACCTTTCTGAGTTAGCTGCAGCAGCTTTTGTTTGCAGAGTGAGATACTAGTCTCTTCTTTTTCCTCCTCTTCCTCCATCCACTCCCAAATACTCTGGGTCCTAAATCCAAATGAAGGCCAAATATAACTGCTTCATACAAAACACTTTCCTACTAATTTTAACATTTGTTTAATTGCTTAGCAGGTTAGGTGAGCATATTAAAGATTTCATCATTAACACTATCCCTGATTAAAAGTGCATGCCAAACACTTATTAAATGTGTTTATGTATCTTTCCGTGTATAGTGATTAGTGAGTGCATTGTGACCTTGGTTAGAATGAATGTTACTCTGCCAATAAACTCTTTGATGATCTTTTTTTAAATAAACATCCAGGGAGGTGTTCAAAGAGTTCATCTGTTAGATGGCACCATTGGTGGAGTTCTATTGAAAGAGTTGTTTCAAAGGGATGGGTTTGGTACAATGGTGGCTAGGTATGTAATCATTCGATGAATCTTTTGTTTAGATGAGCATGTGTTTCTTGTTTTCACATTTTAACCCCTCCCCATATATCTAGGCACATTTTAGTTGTTGAATTCCTTACAAAATGTTAATAGAATAAGACTCCCTACAACAACAACAACATTATGACAGTGCCGCAAAGGCTCCCACCTACGGTGGGGTAAGGGGGTCAAATGTACACAACCTTACCCTGTACTAAAGCACATAGAGACTATTTCCGGATGATCCATGATGAAAATCGCATCAAAAAATTGCATGAGTTGCGTGCTGCTAAATAATAAAGAAGCGCAGACAGTTCAGTGAACCATTTTGATGTATTCCATCATATTCCCAAACCAAAAAATAGTGAGTCCTTGGCTCCATTCGAAATGATGGAAATAGAATAAGAGTTTATGTTTGAATCACATACAACTTTATTTATAGTTAATTAAATCAAGTTATAATATTTTAGAGGTAATGTTTGGTCAATGGTCTCATATATTCACATTTTTCATTTATATTGTTTCCACTCCGCTTCTCTAATGTCTATGCTATAAGCCTATACATCAAACACCCATAATAGTGTAAGAATGGAGCGTTCTGCCACTGGGCCATGTTAGTCTGCATTAACTGCTTTGTTTTCTAAAATCTTCTTTCTTACCCTGCAATTTTAGACAAGTTGAGAGGTGAGGAGAATAGGCAGGGAGGAGAGGGAGAGTAAAACTCAAACAAAGTGGATTAGAGGGGTCATGAATGATATGATACTTCTTAGGTTAGATGATAATGTGATTTTGGAGACCGAAGTAGAGGAGAATATACATATGCATGATTGATCTCATTTTATCTTTTTTTATCCTTTTCTTTTTTATACTTCTTATCTTGTTTATCTTTTTGAACATTATTATGTTAATTGATGATAGAAGATCATATGTTAAAGCAAAATTGAAAGTTTGGCACTAAACTTTGGAGAAACAAGGGTTCTAGGTTGAGCCGAAGCAAGATTGAGTATACGGAGTGCCTATTTAGTGAAGTTAGAAGCAATGGTAAATTAGTAATGGTGGGATTACGTTAGATTAAATGGTAAGGAGATACTGGTTTGTTACATGCATTGTTCTAAAACTCGTTAGGCGCTAGTCGGGCGGTTGAGGGGCGCCTAGCGTCTAGGCGGCCGACTAAGCCGATTAGTGTTCCTCAATTAGGGCCGCCTAGGCCGATTAATCGGTCCGACTAGGACGATTTTTACAACAGTGGTTACATGAGCTCCATAGTTTAGAAGGACAATGAACTAGATAGAAATGTATCACTATAATCAAAAGAGCGTGGATGAAATAGAAGAGTGCGTTAAGATTTTCATGTGACCGAGTTATGCCGACTAGGCTACAAGGTAAGTTTTATCCGACAATAATTAGGTCTGCATTATTGTATGGCTTAGAATGTTGGACGATGAAACAATGTCACAATTAAAAGATGAGTGTGGCTAAGATGCACATGTTGCATTGAATGTATGGACATACTATAAAAGACCGTTTGAGGAATGAGAAAGTCAGGCAAAACGTGGGAAAATCACCTATTAACGGTAAGGTGTGAGAGTCTAGATTGTGGTGGTTTGGCCTTTTGCTTTGAAGATTAAGTGATGCACTTATTAGACGAACTGAGAGGTGGGGAGAAGAGACAAGGAGGAGAGGAGAAGAATATCCAAACAGACATGGATAAGAGAGGTTAAGAATGATATGAATATATGATACTTCTTGGGTTGGATGATTGCATGTTTTGGGGAGAGCGAAGCGGAGGGAGAATATATGTGTGGAGGATTGATCTCATTTTATCTTTTATTCTTTTTTATCTTTTTATCATTTTTATCTTATTTTTTTACTACCTCTGTCCCATAATGTAAGATGCATGCGGATTTGGTGTGAGTTTTAAGAAAATAAAGGATAAAGTGGTTTTTTTACCCTTGCAAAAAAAGTGGTTGTTTTACAATTCTAAACTCCAAAAAGTAAGAAAGAGAAAAATGGACACACAAAAGGTAAAAGATGAAATGATAGATAAAAGGATAAAGTGGGAAAATATAAAATTAGTGGAGTCCAATTTAAGAAAGTGTTCATATTTTTGGGACAACAAAAAAAGAAAAGTTTATCTTATAAAATGGGACAGAAGGAGTATCTTTTTTATCTCATCTTTTATATCTTTATCTTATTTTTTTATCTTTTCCTTTTATCTTTTTTAGCTCCAGTTTCATATACGGTTCATGTTAGCCTTTTGGGACTAAGGATCAGATGTTGTTGTATTTGATTATGTGGATGTTAGACACTTAAAATTGGATGTTTGTAGTTTCTGCAATCTCTCAGATACTCCATGCTGCAGTTTATTTGTTTTGTTTCTACAATTCTCTCTGTGTCTGCTTTTTTGTAGTTTATTTTTGTAAACTATTTTCTCCAGGTCTCTTGGCGTAATTCCAATATTCCTGCTGCTCTTTAATTTCATTTCTTAATTTCTTAATATTTAATTCTTTTGTATAACTATGAGTGGATATAAACTCTAGCATATAGTGTCGGTTATTAAACGAAAGAGGCTTATATTAAAATAACAGAACGTAAGTAGGGACAAATCGACAAAAAGCCTTTTGTCCGCCGTCCGCCGTCCGCCCTTGAATCAGACTTAGAATCCATCACCTCCGTAGAGCAATTACATTTGTTGATCCTGTAATGGGCTTAACTGAGCCAATGACAGCCAAACCAGACTTAAGTTCTAGAGTTCTTCTGTTAGGAAATAAAAACACACCCAACAACATGCAGTTCGAAAGAAAAACACAAACAAAATAAAACGAAATTAAAACAGAGTTCACTCATCTTCTTCCAACCCCTAGACGCTCTGCACTCCGTGGCGACGGCTCAGGAGGGGGACGAGCCTCTGGAAATGTCTGCTCCACGCGGTCCACGACGTCCTTCTCATCGAGCACCAGTTCGTCATCCTCATGATCTCCAAACCGTCTGCCTCATCCCCATCCAACCCTGACCCGCTTACCCTCGTGATCTGCGCCATATAGGCGCTGCGGGGCTGCCAAAGAAGAAAGCTGGTTGTTACTGCACCACCACAAGACTGCTCGCCGGCCGCTGTGCGAAGAGCACCTCCAGAAAATCCCCTAGGAGAAACCCTAGACTCGGCCACCTCTCGCGTTTTACATATGCTTAATAATTACTAATGGATTCATTTCTATCATGTAGTATTGTTGATAATTGTTAACAGCTAGGTTGCTTAAAAACATTTTGTTAATAGAACATAATAAGAAACTAGTAATCATTGTCATGCACTTTTAGTCAGGGATAGTGTTTATGATGAAATCTTTAATTTGCTTATTATGAGTGTACATGAGCTAAAATTTTGACAGTGTGCGTATATCTTGTCAAGCTAATTTGAGCAAGAATTTTCTTTTATAGTGACCTATATGAAGGAACTCGAATGGCAAGGGCAACAGATATTCCTGGAATAAAACAATTATTGCAACCTTTAGAAGAGTATGGAACATTGATCAGGAGGACAGAGGAAGAAGTAAGTCGGTCTTGGGTTATGTTTAACTGTCATTTGAGCTTTGTTCATTTGATAAGTTTCTTCTCTAATAACAAAGAATAAAATGTTTTGTTTTGTACTCACATTTCTTATTCAAGCTTCTCGTGGCATTGGATTCATTCATCGTTGTGGAAAGAGAGGGTCAAATCATAGCTTGTGCTGCTCTATTTCCATACTTGATAGAAAAATGTGGAGAGGTTGCTTCTATTGCTGTTTCTCCTGAATGTCGTGGCCAAGGGCAGGGAGACAAATTACTTGGTATGAATAAAAGATAGACGATCCTTTAATTTCAAAAACCTTGGAGCATTTATGTACCTCATTTTAAGTGTTGTACATGCATTAAGAAACTATTTTTTTAATGGTCAAGGAAAATGTAGTGTAATATGTTACTATAATACCCCACATAAAGTTTTAAAGCTCCATGTAAAATTATTTTAGAAAATATAAGTGGAAAATAATTTTCCATCATTTGCAATCGAGCCAAAGATTCATTATTTTTTGGCTTGAGATTATGGTGGAATAAAGCAAAATGGCTCACTAAACTGTCTGCGCTTCTTTGTTATGGAGCAGCAGTCGGTCCATGCAATTTTGGACGTGATTTTCACTATGGGTCCTCCGGAAACAGTCTCTCTGTGCTTTAGTACATGGGTAAGAGTGTAAGACTGCGTACATCCGACCCCCCTTACCTCACCGTAGGTGGGAGCCTTTGCGGCACTGGGGTAAATGAAAATGAATAGTGGAAAATAAGCAAATAATGCTTTCGTGATACTCAAAAGTGACATCAATTTGAGAACAAAATTTTATCTCGAAAGAAGTGCTTCAAAATGGGCTTTTGGAGGGGTTAATCTATATAGTTTCATAGAATTGAATGATTAGCATGTGATCGAATGATATCTCAATCATTTGAATTAAAATAACAATAAAAAAAGGCCCTCTTGCAAGTTGCAACTCCGAAAGGTAATAAAATCTTGTGAATGGATTGTCACTGTATTTACTTAAATTGTACTGACTAGTGACTTCACATATGCAGATTACATTGAAAAGAAGGCATCTTCCCTTGGGATGCAAATGCTATTTCTCCTCACAACTCGCACAGCAGACTGGTATGGTTTCTGTCACTTTATGTGCCCAGTTTTTAAAAAGAATGGATTTCTAGTTTTGGCCCATGTCTCTAATGAAACCATTTCTTTCATTCTTTATCTACTTGTGCTTGATAGGTTTGTAAGGCGTGGTTTTTCGGAATGTTGTGTTGATCAGATACCAGTGGAAAGAAGGAAAAGAATCAATCTCTCACGTGGGTCTAAATATTACATCAAGAGGTTACAACCTGATAGAAGTGGTATTCGCTTTGGCAGTCCATGAGGAGAGTGAAGTGATATATTATTGATTATTGATTGGTGTAAAAGCTGTATATCGAGAGAGATAATAAAGCTGCTTGTAACTCATAGTAGGTGTAAAAGCTGCTCAATCAATCTGTGACTACTACAAAAGAATAAAAGCCACGCAGCATAAACTGTGTATTTATGTATCCCATCATCCCATGTTTTGTATACCTGGTTTGTTTATATTCTTGTACCTGGCTAAATGTGTAGAGTGGGAAACATGCAAATATTAAATGGAGTAAAAAGTACATTATATTAGTGTTAATCGGTACGAATTTGAATTTAGACAATAATGTCTGACTTAGGCTTGAACCTATCGGTGGTCCTGGGGCCGGAACCGGTACTGACGTACTGTTCCGACCCGAACTGGGACTGGTTTTCCGGTTTCGGTGCAGAACCAGGTACCCAACTGGGTATAGGGTAGGGCCGGTCTCGGGTCGAAGAAATGGGGATTGTACTGGGCAGCCCCGGTCCCGGTTTAGTCCCAACGGCTAACTTTTTTGGGGGTAATTTGAGTTTGCACCTCATATTATTGTTTAAATTAGATTTTGCACCCTATTTTTAAAAATCTGTTTTTGCACCCTAACCCCATATGAAAAGACAACCCCTCCATTAACAATTATGTTGACCTTCAACACATTTCTTATTGAGGATACTTTTGCCTTTTCATATGGGGTTAAGGTGCAAAAACAAATATTTTTAAAAACGGGGTGTAAAGTCCAATTTAGACAATAATATGGGGTGCAAACTCACTTTACTAGGAAACAGGGTGTAAAGTCTCGTTTCTTTTGTTTCTTTTGATTAAAATTTGTTTAGTTCTCATTCCTATACTACTCCATAATATATTATTACGTGCGTAATATTATTTATGATGAAATAACTACTACTCCAAAATATAGTGTTGCTATGGATTTAATATTTTTCAAAATAACTACTAGAAAATATAGTCTTTATAGATATGATATTTAATTAAATGTGGTATTGAAAAATTACAAGTGTACTACAAAGTATGAAAATATTTTGCGCTACTATTCTACGAGGAAACACAAGATTAGGGGGGGCCGAAAAATTTATATGACAATAATTAAAAATAGTTAATTAGATGTTTTACTTAACTTTTTAGACAATAATGTCTGACTTAGGCTTTATTTTGCAAAACTAGTAAATTTGCTTAACCTCTAATGTCTGTTTTACTTAACTTTAAAAATAGTAAATTTGCAAAAGTAGTTACGTCTTTATTTTGATGTTATGCTTATTTTTATCACATTTCACAAATGTATATTTTATGGGACGTCTCGAACTGTCCCGATTTTTCTCGGGATGTCCCGGTCCCGTTTTAAATGGGACAACATTGGAATAAAGACTTAGTCCGAACCGTACCAGACCGTTATTATAATACCGGATCGGGATTGGGATAAGCCAAATCCCGAACCGTCCCAGACCGCGCTCACCCCTAATTATTTATTATCTCTAGGAAAAATCGCACATTTGACCCCCCAATTATCCACCATATTGAAATCCCAAACCCGTGTTTCAGGTTTTCCAAATGTCACCCCGAGTTGTCAGAATAATTATAAATGTCACCCCTGCCGTTATAAATATTACAAACTCCGTATATTTTTAATTTTTTTCAGGGTTTAAATTGTCATTTCCCAATTACGCGTGTGAGGTACTCCTTACGGACGCCAGGATGGGCCAATAAGCAATGGTGTACGAGAAGTTGAATCTCACCGACGATGTGGAGGCGGTGGTGGAGGAGTAGATCGTAGTTACGGTGGATTGAACCCCCGAGAGAGTTTTCAACCGGGAGAACTGTGCGGTCAGCAATCCATAGCTCCACCGCCTGAAACACCAATCAAACTAGTCACAAGTTATCGCTTCACACTTCGGATAAGCCTTATCGGCGACTGCTTCGCTATACGCGCCTGGAACGCCCTGGTAGGCGACACGCAGTTGCGGCCTGCGAGCCGTGCATCGGCGCCGGATATAGGTCCGCAATCGAAAGCGGCTTGGGGAGGATACTCTCGAGAGGGACCAGATCCAGCATCTTATGGCCGTTCACAGTGGTTCTTGGCTGTTCCAAATGACAATGGGGAAATGACAATTTTAACCCTGAAAAAAATTAAAATCTGACGGAGTTTGTAATATTTATAACGGCGAGGGTGACATTTATAATTATTCTGATAACTCAGGGGTGATATTTGGAAAACCTGAAACACAGATTTGGGATTTCAATATGGTGGATAATTGGGCGATCAAATGTGCGATTTTCCCTTATCTCTAATTCTACATTCCAACTCCTACACTTTCATAATTAATATATTCATATTATAATTATATTTATATACTTTTTACACTATATAATTAATTATAATCTGTAATCCTACATTCCTACTCCTACACTTTCATATTATATATATATATATATATATATATATATATATATATATATATATATATATATATATATATATATATATATATATATACACACACACACACACACACACACACACACAATATTATGTTTGTGTTTTTGAGGGGTCTATAAGTTATGATTTTTTGATTAAAAGTTCATGTTTTTTGCTTATAAATTAGACTTCGCAGCTTCTCAGCCTAAGGGTACTTCTAAGCTGATCAGAAGCCTGCTACGGATTAAAAGTGAGAAGTAATAGGGAGCTTTAGATCTTTGCAAATCTGGCAGCCAATTTTTTCTAATGACCTCTAACATGTTAATTAATATCAAAACTTCATTGCTCATCTATGACTATTTGTCTCTGAAAGTCTCCGATTATCCGTTTGAGAAGGCAGAATCATCCGCGATGAAGCCTCTTCCGCTGAGAAGCCAGAATCACCCGCTAACAGGTCCTCTTCCGCTGAAAAAGCATCGATTTAAATCAGATCTAATGGTTCGTGTTCTTAATACTTAAATCAGATCTAATGGTTCGTGTTTTTAATATAGAAATTAGTTCAAATAGGACTAAAACTATGGCAAAAACCTAAAATAGAACTTGGTATGTTTTTATGTTAAAATAGGACCATATGAGTCCTATTGGAAACATACCTATTTTTGCATTCCATTCTTACCCTTCCATTAAATATGAATTAAAAATAGTCAAAAGTCATAATTAAATGTTTAATTCATAATAAATTCGAAAAAAATTCAAAAATTCGTAGAAATATAATTAAAAAATTTATAAAATTTTTATAAAATAAAAAATTCAAAAACATTTTTTTTTAAAAAAAAATTATTTTTAAAAAATTAATAAAAAATAGTAAAACTCCGTAAAAAAATTTTTAAAAAATATGGATGTCTTTCCCACCGCCTGTACTACCTCCCAGCACCACCACCTCCGGTCGATGAAAAAAATGCCATTTTCCCAGAAAAATGCCATTTTTTCTGAAAATGCCAAAAAAGTGGCATATTTCTCTTTTCGAAAGCCAACATTTTCATTTTTTTCTGCCATAAATATGTCATTCATAATGAACTTGGCATTTTCCCCCCTGGTGACTGGAGGTGGTGGTGCTGAGGCGGCAGAGGCGGCGACGATTTTTTGTTTGAGTTTTTATTTTTTTAATTTTTTTTATTTTTTTAATTTTTTGAAAAAAAAATAATTAAATTTTTAATATCGAAATGTTTTTCTTAATTTTTTAGTATTTTTTACGAATTTTTATTATTTTTTATTATTTTATTAGGAATTAAAACATTTTAATAGCTATAAGGGTAGAATTGTCCAAGGTACACATAATTAGTCCTATGCAAACATAATTTATTTTTTGGACCTATTTGTGAAAAGTGAATGACCTTTTAGTCCTATTTTGATAATTAACTCTTTTTAATACTTAAATCAGACCATTCATATTCTTCATACTCCTCATCATCGACACATCTACGCTCTATCCATTGCCAATTTCTACACCCGTTCCTGCTCGAGATTTCTCTCTTCTATCGAGGTCTCCCTAAGATTTTTATGCGACAAAGTTGTCCCAGTTACCGTCCTTGATGAATTTCGTATGGTCCAATCCACTAACAGACCAGGTCAATAAGTCAATTTCGAATTATGCTCTACAGAATTTTGTTTTATTGAGTAATTGGCAAACATCTACTTTGTATCTATGAAGTTCTTTGAGATATAGCTTGATTCTCCTTCAATTTCTAAGTTTTAGACAGTGCTAATGTTATCTAGTTCATTTATTATTAAGGTAATTTTTTCACCTACTGAATTGAACATTAGAATACAATTAGAATAGTATCTCATGCTTATATGTTAATGTGATTTTAAATTATTGTGTATTTGTTGAAAGAGAGAGATATTGAGTTCAATGTACGTGACTCAACTATTTGTTGAGTTGAGTTTGGGTTATGCCTGCCAACTGTTTGATGAATTTTCTAATGGTAAATGATGTTCATATACTTCATATTTATCATTTATATTTTGATGTTAAGTCTATATGACTGCAAAAGTATAGTAGCATACCTTCTTGTTAGTTGAGTTTATAATATAAACTCCTAGGAGTTTATAATATATAGATTTTTCTGTGTATGTTAATAATTGAATATAAACTCCTAGGAGTTGCCATTATTTGAAGAAAAGTTATCCTTACTAATCAGGAAGTTAGATAATGCAAATTTAATTAGAAAAAGAAAAAGAAAAATCAGATTAGTGACTCGATATAAATCCTAGTTGAAACTTAGTTTGTGTGGTGTACGTTTGGCCTCTTTAAATTGATACTAAAATATAAGCTCTTTAAGCTTAGCGGTTATTTGAGTTGTGTAGTAAAAGTTATGTATACTCATATAAAAGTTATAGTATTTTGAGTAAAAGTTATTTCATGAAATGAGTTTTTTATTGGACAGTTGGCCACATCAGCTACCTTTAATACAAATATATGACTATCTTGTGTTGTTAAATTCCTCTAAAAGAATAACTAAATAATGTATAACCAAAGAACCACAACTAAAAGAATTGCCTTAGAGTTACAATATTTGTGTTATTAGTTAAATGTTTTTTAGTACTTCTAGAAGTTAACATTATCTGATTGTTCTTATATTGATGCTATAAAAAGTGATTGCACTGTGTCTAAAACTAAAAGTTACGTATTTAATTCTAGAAGTTTGTATTCTGGTTCTATTAGTTTATTGATAAAATGTTCTTTTTAGATTTACTGTATAAGCGCAGATGAAAATGATGGTGCTATATTTTGTTCCCTTTTTTTAAGATAGAACATGTGTCAGTTACAAGT